GTGTGTGTGTGTGTGTGTGTGTGTGTGTGTGTGTGTGTGTGAGAGAGTTGGGGGGGGGGTATTTCTTTTTAAAACACATTGTTTAACCCTATCCGTACGTCGTATTTTACTATGGTATCCTTACGACGTGGGAAACTGTGCCACCACTTGCCAAAGAGGAAATTTACTCGTTAATCTGATCCGTACGCTTGTCATAGCAGTCTGTCAAAATGATTTTTTGAGAAGTACTGAAAGTTTCAAAGAGATCTTCGTACTAGAAGTATTCTGAAATGTGAAGAATACAACCCCGAGGCTACAAAATGTCCCCATGGTATTTGAATAGGGTTAATTTTCATTGGTTTTGTATTAGGTGTGCATTTCGGTCTTCCGACATTCCTAGAAGTCGCACTGTTTTCGGGCATAGCTTCGCTGTTCACAAAGAATTTTTCAATTCTCTTTTCTGTATCTGTAACTTTGAAAAGCAGGACGTAACAACGTGAATTCTAAGGAATATGAAAATTCGTAATTCTGATGTGTCTATGATGGTTCGTAATATCCCGTAACGTTGCTGCTGCTGATGGGACATGAGTCCGCAGGGTCCCTAAAGAGTAAATCTGGCCTTGAGGTAAGGTAAAAAAAAAAAAAAAAAAAGATAAAGTTGTTCCCGCATCTGATCCGGATATTGGGGATTGTCTTGTTAGTGAGACAACTTCCTGGGCCTTCGGCATATTGTGGTAGGGTGGCCATTTCCTTCCCACGCCGCTTTTACTTTCCCAACTCAACTAGAAGTCAGATACTCATTACTGCTGGGTGGCAGGAGGGGGCGAAAAAAAATCCGTGTCCAAACCGGGGCTCGAACCCGAACTTTCCGCTTCGGAGAAGAGCGCACTAACCGCTCCGCCACCACACCCTCACGAGGTTAGGCTACCGGGGTCACGTAATCTCACTTCGAGCGTCAGCTCGGTCCGACTTTGTGTCCTTGGGGAAGTCACTTTACACGAATTCCCCATTTGGCATGGTCCTTTCGGAGATCAAGGTTAAACTAGGAGGTCCTGCCTCCTAAATAACCCAATAGTGTTGATAGCGGCGTTAAACTGTTATCATTTCAAAGACTAAAGCATCGTCCACCCTATTCAAATGTTTAAAAAAACAATGTAGTTTCTGAATCTATGGCATCTGTTCCATGTGCTCCAAAAATATTTGTTGAAATTCGAGTTCTTAAATGTTGAAAAAATCAGAAGAAATGCATAATTTGGGTACATAATATTTTAAAGGGATGAAACCGTCCTCTCTCCCTCTCTCCCTCTCTTTCTCTCTCTCTCTCTCTCTCTCTCTCTCTCTCTCTCTCTCTCTCTCTCGATCTCTCTCTCTGTCTCTCACTTTGTCTCTCCCTGTGTCTGTCTGTCTGTTTGTCTGTCTGTCTGTCTCTCTCTCTCTCTCTCTCTCTCTCTCTCTCTCTCTCTCTCTCTCTCTCTCTCTCTCTCTCTCTCTCTCTTTTCCCGTCATTTTTTCTCCCAGAGCATAGACCATTTGAACATCTTACCAAGGATGTTATGTTTCGGCAGAGACGCACGCCGCTTTAGGGAAGGGAAAGGCGCCGGTATCTGAAGCGAGTTGTGGCGTTTGTGATCATTACAATAAATTATTGCAATTGTTTTCGTTCTGTTACTCTCTTCGTCATGCCGTGGAAGCTAGTTGTCTGTAGCTTTCTTCCTTTTAATTTTAAAATCTTCGTCAGTTCGTGATGAACAAAGTGTCATTGTAATTATTAAGCTATTAATATTATTTGTATTATTATTATTATTATTATTATTATTTAACCGAATGGTATCATGCAAAAGAGTTAATGCTCAGATGCTACTGGATCGCTAACAACATTATTATTATTATTATTATTATTATTATTATTATTATTATTATTATTATTATTATTATTGTTATTATTACTTTTATTATTATTATTATTATTATCATCATCATCATCACCATCATCATCATCATCATCATCATCATCATCATCATCATCATCATCATCATCATTATCCTCCTCCTCCTCCTCTTCCTCCTTCTCCTCCTTCATTTCTTCCTCCTCCTCCTCCTCTTCTTCTTCTTCTTCTTCTTCTTCTTCTTCTTCTTCTTCTTCTTCTTCTTCTTCTTCTTCTTCTTCTTCTTCTTCTTCTTCTTCTTCTTCTTCTTCTTCTTCTTCTTCTTCTTCTTCTTCTTCTTCTTCTTCTTCTTCTTCTTCTTCTTCTTCTTCTTCTTCTTCTTCTTCTTCTTCTTCTTCTTCTTCTTCTTCTTCTTCTTCTT